CTGGAACAGCAACAATAAAAGCGATTATTTTTAATTTCCGTTCTTCTCCTCCGTAATGGAGCTATTAGACTTTGGCAGATCCCTTAATATGATTATCCTTTTTGAATGATTTCGAACTGAAATGTTTGTGCTGATGGTGGTAATCGCAGTGGAGTTTGAAGAACGAGGCTGTAGGCTCACGCTCCAGGAGCTCGTGACCCCGAAGTACCATCAGCTGTGGTTTGATGGGCAGGTGAGGATGAAACCTTGGAGGGGAAGTGGGGCCCCGGTGGGCTCTTGGTTCTGCCTGTAAGGACGGGTCTGGCTAACCACGCCACCAGTGCAGTGGGTCCCAGATAGGCCAGGTGGAGGCTTTCTGTGGGAGACCTGCTTCTCCCGAGCAGTGAGGACAGCTGTCCATCATCAGTCCAGAATTCAGAGCAGTCATCCAGCAACCCTCGCTGGCCCAGCCAGGGGTGAGGATACGCCTTTTAATTATTTAGTCTCCACATCGACCAGGGATACATCAGTCACCTGCTTGAACCTTGCCCCGCTCCCAGCACAGTGGGGCAGCCTCAGAGCCCTGCTGTTTGCAAGACTGGGTTCTTGGGTTAGCAGGGAAGCCGTCTCCTCGGGGCTGGTCTCCCAGGCTGCTTCCAGCCCCTCCTCTGCACCATCCCTGTCAAGCTTGGCCTCATTAGAGTGCCAAGATGGGTACCAGCGCCCAGGCACCCTCTTGACACGGTGGCAGGTGTTTGACCGTGGCCTTTAGGGGACCTTTCCACATGCCACCAACAGCAGTAATGATCACATGCTCATTCCACATCTTCGTTGCGTGAGGACCAGCCTCCTGCCCTTGATCTTTGGGTTCTGACAGCCCGCCAGGATGCAGACAGCAGCCTGCTTGTCTGTGACCTCTTTGTGGGGCCTCGTGACAGCTGGGTGGCTGCTGTGGCCTAACTTCACTGAGGAGGCACTAGGGGACCTCACCGTCCTTTCGTGGGGAATCCTAGGGCTTCTGCTGTGGGACCTGCTGGAATACGCTGAATACAGCTGTGAGCAGCAGGTAGAGGACCCAGGGTGACTCATACTGTGAATCCATCTCTCCTCGCCACCGCAACCAAACGATGTCATCCGGATAAAGCCAGTTACATGAAGAGATCAGGCTGCGTGATGGCGAAAGATGTTTCCTAAAGGGCGATCTGAGAGGTATCGGGAAGGAAGAAGCGGCCTGTGTCCTTGACAGTGAAAGTCCTGTGCCTTGAATCCTTCCCTCCTTCTCTCCCTCTCCTTCCCTCCTTCTTTGTTCATCCCTCCCTCCCTCCCCTAGCGAACGCACACTGTCCTGCTGCCCTTGGCTTCTGGTTCAGGTCAGCTAGTTTGTCCCTGGGGCATCACAGGGCCCTTCCCCACCAGGGGCAGTCACCAGATCTGTTACACTCATTCATTCACTCAATAGTATCTAGCTCTGTGTCAACAAGGCACTCACTCCTGGGAATACAACGAGAACTTAGGGGGATAACTTCTCTGCTCTTGGAGACCTGGCAGTTCAAGAGGGAGATGGCTCTACAGGCTGCTTCTGCTGGTACAAACACAAATTCCTAAGTCCCGTCTCTGTAAGTCTGGTTCCATGGTCTGGGCTGCACCCAGGAAGCTGCATTTTCTAAGGAGCCCTCCGGGTGATGCTGTTGTAGGTGGATCCTGAACCAATCTCAGAGAAACATGCTTTTCAGCCATGGGGCTGTGCCCAGAGCCACCCCTTCGAGAGTGTTTGTTGACTGCTGTGCCCTGTGATTCTGACTGCCCTGCTTGCCCTCGAGGGGTTAGAAAACACAGCGTCTTAGAGCAGGATCTTATTACGCATGCGTGTTAGCATTGGGAATTTTCAGACCTTGAGTTTAGGGGTTGGAGAGACTGTTCTGACTTCTCAGAATTTCTTGATGTGCTCAGCAATGGCTCTCTAGAAAACTGAGGTGACACCAGCACTGGCTCCCGTTCCCCCTTCTCTGCAGACTCCCGCCCTCCCAGGACCACATGTCCCGTCTCCAAGCACACACGTCACTGGCATTTCTCCATCACTCGAGTGACCCCGGCTTATAACTCTCCCAGAGTGAATCTTCCCTGAAGTTTGCCTCTTCTGGCTGTGTGATAAAACATGCACCCTCCCCCGGATCATAAGGAGAGGGTGGGGGAGATGGCACGTGTCATAAGAACAGAAACCTGTCTAATACGGGTTAAGTCAAGGAGGACAGATCGGGCTTCCCTGGTGGCACAGTGGTTGGGAATCTGCCTACCAATGCAGGGGACACGGGTTCGAGGCCTGGTCCAGGAGGGTCCCACATGCCCCGGAGCAACTGGGCCCATGGTGCCACAACTACTGAGCCTGCGCTCTGGAGCCCTTGAGCCACAACTGCTGAGCCCGCTGTGCCACAACTACTGAAGCCTGCGCGCCTGGAGCCCGTGCTTCGCAACAAGAGAAACCACCACAATGAGAAGCCTGCGCACCCCAACGAAGGGTAGCCCCCGCTCGCCGCAACTAGAGAAAGCCCACACGCAGCAACGAAGACCCAACGCAGCCAAAAATAAATAAAATTTAAAATAAATAAATCAAAGGAGGACAGATCGCTAAGACCCAGGGGGCTCGCACATGACCCGGGGCAGAGAGCGGAGCCAGGCCTGTCAGCAGACGGGCAGCCGAAGACACCAGGCCGCCCCCCATCCCGTGGTCTCACACCTCCACAGTGCATCTGCCTCCCTCTGCTCAGCCATCCTTGTACAGGGACCACCGGAGCTGCCCCCAGATGGCAGCCTGAGCCCTACAGATGGATGAGACCATCTAGTTCTAGCTCCCAGCACTGTCTCGATCCCAAGTTTCGGGAAAAACATAATCTGATTGACCCCGTTTGGGATCTGTGCTAACTCCTGGTTCAGTTAACTGAGATAAGAGTTGGGTTCACATAGCGCTTTTGCAAGCAAGGGGTCAGCTGCTTCTCTCAGAAGGACCAAAGGCTGCAGGAAATGACTGACGGTGAAGTGGTTGCCGTCCTGGCGTAACTGGTACAGCTGCCCCAGTAGAGGGCAGTGTCCTGTGTCCATAGGTGGGATTGGTGTGAGCTTCCTGGAGAAACGCGGAGGGCAGAGGAGCCTTGTTTACTGAGCCCCTGCTCTCTGCACTGAGCTCATTGCATATCTTTTCACAGCGATACTCCACAGAGAGTTAACTGGGATCCAGGAGGGTCCATTAACTTCACACAAGTACACGTTCCCATGGCAGCACCCATGTTCATCAAACTAGGTCCGTTCAACTCTGAACACTCACCTTTCCAGTGAGTCCCACTGCTGCCGCACCACGTGGGCACCGAGAGGGGTCAAAAATCTGGACGTTAAGGTCAAAGTCAAGCTCGGGATCTGGAGGAGCGGACGAGGATCGAACGTTGAGGTCTACAGTTCAGCTCAGGAGCCTCCCACCGGAGAGCTTCCCGGCGGCCCCAGTGGAGTTTCACGGGGCCTCCCGCATGAGACGTCTGTTTCGCCCGGGAAAGCATCTGAACAGCATTTCTGGCGTTTGGCAGTCTGGGCGTTTGCCGGCTCCTTCACGAAGCCATTTCTGAAGAGTGCAGTGAAGCAGAAAGGCTAAAATGAAGGGCTTTGCAGTTGGCTGGGTCCTGACCTCTACTCTATGATTCGTGCCAGGTCGCGAGCTCTCCGCGGGCTTCGGCTGGAGAGGTCCTACCTCCTTCACACGACCATGGATGTTTTTAAGTGAGAGAGTGTGTGAAATGTGCTTTGCCTTTATGCTTGAGTTGTAGTAATGACTCGATAAATGGCTGCGATAATCATAGTAATAATAATAACTTAGTTGCTTGAACGCAGGAAGTATGTCGTGTGTTTCTTTACCCCCTACGGCACCAGTAAAATGCCTTAGAGGCGGCTTCTTCTCCTCCCCCTCCTTCAAGTGAGATACAATTGACACATAACACTGTGTAAGTTTAAAGTATACAGCATGTTGACTTGATCTCTGTATTGCAATAAGATAACCACTGTGGCATTAGCTAACGCCCCTAACAGGTCACATAATTATCATTTCTTTTTGTGATGAGAATATTTAAGATCTACTCTCTTGGCAACTTTGAAGTATATAAATACTGTATTTTTTTTAATATTTTATTTATTTAGGCTGCATGGGGTCATAGTTGTGGCACAGAGGATCTTTTAGTTGCGGCATGAAGGCTCTTAGTTGTGGCATGTATGTGGGATCTAGTTCCGCAAACCCAGGCCCCCTGCATTGGGAGTGCGGAGGCTTACCCACTGGACCACCAGGGAAGTCCAGTATTCTTTTTACTTTTTTTAATAAATTTATTTATTAATTTATTTATTTTTGGCTGCATTGGGTCTTCGTTGCTGCGCACGGGCTTTCTCTAGTTGAGACGAGCGGGGGCTTCTCTTCATTGCAGTGCGCAGGTCTCTCACGGCGGTGGCCTCTCCCGTTGCACGGGCTCCAGGCACACGGGCTTCAGTAGCTGTGGCTCACGGGCTCCAGAACGCAGCCCCAGCAGTTGTGGCGCACAGGCCCAGCCGCTCCGTGGCATGTGCGATCCTCCGGGACCAGGGGTCAAACCTGTGTCCCCTGCGTGGACAGGCGGACTCCCAACCACTGCGCCACCAGGGAAACCCCAAGTCCAGTATTCTCAACGATAAGCACAGTGCTGTGCATTAGATCCCCAGAACTTGTTTATCTTCTAACTGCAACTTTAGACCCTTTGACCAACATCTCCCCAATTCCTCCACCCCCCAGCCTTTGGTAACCACCAATCTACTCTCTGTTTCTATGATTTGACTTTTTTAGATTCCACATATAAGAGAGTTCTACAGTATTTGTCTTTCTCTGACTTGTTCCACTCAGCATAACGCCCTCAAGGTCCATCTGTGTTGTTGCAAATGTCAGGATTTCCTTTCCTCGCGGCTGAGTGATATTCGCGTGTACGTATCACATGACTGTTGCCTCTTTCTCCCTCCCGCAGAACGCCAGCCATGATTGGCTGCTCGTTTGTGGTCAACAGGAAGTTCTTTGGTGAAATTGGTCTTCTGGACCCTGGGATGGATGTGTATGGAGGAGAAAATATCGAACTTGGAATCAAGGTTTGTGTCATGACATCCTTTCCTCTTAGTCTGTTTGTGTTTGTGAGTAGAACTGCCTGGTCATTTTTGCTGTGTATTTGAAGCTTCTTTAGCTGGTGAATGACAGAATCCTTCACCCCACTTCTGTTCCTAAAGATGTTCCAGCAGGGTTGTCACCCCTCCTCAGACTGGGGGAGACCTGGCCTTCGCCCCTCGAAAGGTTGAACAATTTGTTCATGCCTGGGCGACCCAATCTGGACATTAGCTAGAGAATTTGGTCCCCACTCCCATCCAGTTTCACTCTCTCCTTAAATTTTTCTTAAAATTAAATCATCTCCTTAAATTAGAATTTACATGCTACATAGTTTGACAATTCATGTACATCATAGAATCATAAGATGCCAGAGGAGAGAAGGACCATGTTCTGTGGGACTCTCCCATTTCTCAGAAATGCTTCTAAGGAGGGTAATGGGAGTGGGGAGAGGAAGAAGACACAGAATGGGCCTCTTGCTGGCCCCCCATTCAGATCCGCTCCACTGCTGGATATCTCAGACGCTGGGTATTGCTTAAGATTCTGTTTGAAAGATGAAGTTCACCGTAAACAAAAAAGTTGGACAAATTGATGCATTCCAACCTCTTCACTTTAGTGAATGAACCCGAATGAGGGGTGTGGTTGGGGGACACCTGGTAACCGCTTAACTGGTACGTCCTCCTCCATACTGCAAAGAGGGGGGTCCTGGGGGATGATGCCCAGCTGGGGACTCTGTGTCCCCACTGCTCCCTGTCCTGAGCTTGTGCATTCCTGAGCCCCTGGGAAGTAGGCTTGTTGGAAACGACTCAGGACACGACTGTAAGGTTTAAGTTTATTGAATTTCTTCCTCCTTCCGCTGCTGGAATCTCCTTCTTGTTCTAGCCAGGCAAGTACCCAGTACCTAGTGCAAGTACTCCAGTCAAAGCCTGCTCTCTGTGTCAGATTTCACTCGTTATCCCTAACTGCTCAGGACCTTTAAGACACTGCACTGCCCCCTCCTCTACACTTGAGCCCCCTTCGTGGAATGGAAGGCTTCATGTCCTCATGATGTAATGAACGTCCAGGCTGCAGAAGCAAAGAGGATGATGGAGACCTTCCCTGGATCCTAAAATCACTCCCTTTTGGAGACTGCAAACTCTTGCTGTGTTTTTGGTTCCAGGCTGGGTTCTTTCCTAAGTGGAATTTGCATAAGATTTCTTTGAAAACCGAGCAATTAAAAAGCCCATGAATATGTTACCGTAGCAAATATACTTGGCATTTACCCATTTGAAATTGAATTGAAGGAAAGAATTGGGGCCCAGCATGTTGAACTTGGCCTGTAACTTCAGTCTCTGCCCTGCTCCCATCTCCTCATCCCTTCTCACGCTGCTCTTTTCCCTAGCTCTCATCCGCTTCTAGCACGCCAGGGAACTGACTTATTTATTATGCGTATTGTATTTCTCTACCTTTACTAGCTAGACTGCAAGCTTTATGGGGCGCAGATCTCTGTGGGGCTCACCTTTGCATCCCAAGCATGTAGAACCATGCTTAACACATGGCTCCGTAGGTATCTGTTAGATTGATGACTGAATGCCTATTAGGACCCAACATGCGCAGAAGCAGCGACATCATGGAGACAAGCCCGGTGGTGAAATGGGAGGTGATAACTTGTCCAGGTGCTTATTTGTGAAAGGAAGGAGCTGAAGGCAGCCCTGCACTGAGATGGTTAAACTTCTTAAATTTTTTATAAATTTTATGATAGTTTATAAAATTTTATGTATATTTGTATATAATATGCATACAATTATTAAAATTATAATAATTTTGTAATTTATTAATTTTAATAATTTAATACTTTTATTAAGGGAGATTTGAATTTCTCTATATGCTGTGAGAAGGAACCCAGTGGAGGGTCAGACGTCACCAACAGAGGGGAGAACAGGATGAGGGAGCACTGTCCCTACGGAGGCAGGGGCACAGGTGGAGGGGGACAGGAGGGCCCCCAGATTTTATTGCAGGGCAGGCTGCGCTCTGGGGAGAACAGAGGTGGCGACCGCGGAACCCACTGCTAAGACTTGCTAGGATGTTGGTCTCCCCATGCTTGCAAAGCAAAGGTCTGGGTGCCAGGCTCTGCCAGGCTCCATGTTGATGACAGTGACAGTCCTTCGTGGCTACCCGATCCCTGCAGGAGGGGAGGGGCTCGTGAGTCTTGGCCCTGCAGCAGCACAGCCTAGTAGAGCACAGCCCCTGTGCCATGAGCTGAGGGCCCGTGAGGTCCGCTCTGCATCTCCATGTGGCAGGCTGGAGCGATGGGACCCAGAGCCTGCTCTCTGACTTGTCTTCTCTGGGGTAGCTCCGTGTCTGGCTGTTCTCCACGCGTCTTTATGTAAGCATCCGATGGATGGGACTCGGATCCCACCCTCATGCAATCACTTGCCTCTTATCCCGGGCACGTCCGGCATCCACGCTGGACATTTGGGAATGTTTATGCCTCTTACTTCCCATAGACCGTGTCATCCCATGACCTACGAGCTGACTCTCCACAGAAGCTTTGGTTTTCTGCTGATTCTCAAAGCAGGAATTGACTGCTGTTGGTACCCTAAGGGCCAAGGCCTGGGTCCAGGGTCCACGTAGCCACCATTTACACAGTAGTCTGTGTTCTTAAGGTGTGGTCCCTGACCAGCGCATCCACGTCACCTGGCCCTTGTTACAAATGCAGGTTCTCGGGCCCCATCCTACACTTACTAACACTCTGGGGTGGTGTCCAGCAACCTGTGTTTTAATAAGCCTTCCAGATGATTCTGTTACACACCCAAATTTCAGAGCCCCTGATCTACACCCGACCATAGCCAGCTTCCTGGCAAACACGTATCTATTCTCAGAAACGAGCCCGGGTGAGAGTCCACATGCTTCAAGGCCCACCTTGAAAAATACATTATTAAGAAAGCCATCCCTGCTGCTTGAAAAAACTCAGAGCTTATGTAATATGTGTACACATACATACACATATATAATTATATAAAGTGTACACACATACATTATATAAATTAACCTATAATAACCTGTAAGAAATGACACAAAATTCTATGCTTTAGTTAAGTGGGGAAATTTTAATATGAGACCACATCTTTGTAATTTCTTTGACTAAGAAATAGGTCCATCTGTGATCTAACTATTCTCTAACATTTTTCATTACTTTTTAATTCCATCCTCAGTAGTTAAAGAACAGGAAGAATAGAAAGTCTCACTGTGGTTCAGGGAAATAAAAACAGTAGGGTTTACTCTAGGGCTATTGTTTGTATGAAAGGCAAGCTTGCCTGTGACCAAAACAGTCGATACAGTGGAGGGGAAAAAAAAGCTTTCCAGGGCTGAGAAAATAAATGAGATCGGAAATTGAAAGGTTTCATCTTGTTCTGAGTAACATTAATCAGAAACCATTAACGAGGCATGTTATAGTAACATGTCTAAATGGTAAGAGGAAAAAAAATTCTCCGAGGAGAAAAGACCAGATAGATTACTTTTAAGTGGTATAAAATCAGATGGCTTCAGGTTTCTGCAATATATCCATCTGCTTTGGGAAGAAGAGGCACTGTCTTATTCTGAGCTCTCATATAAGAGCGTGACATACACCACTACGGAATCCTGTCTGGCAGCTAATCTGAAAGGAAGGCGATAGAAAGATGCTGTCAGATCCTCAAGCCACCAGAAGAGGTCTTAGCTCACCATGAATCTCAAGAACTGAATAAAAGGCAGAATTCCTATGTGTGTACATTGTTGTTGAAAATATTGTCGAGACCAGCATTTGAAGGACTGCCTCCTTCAAAGGGCTTAGAAATTATGGGCTGTCTGGGGTGGCCTAAGTCCCAGGGCTCCAGATGAACATGGAATCTCCCTCTCCCACTCTTTGCCCCATCTCTTGTTCTTTTTTTTTCTTTTTTTTTTTTTTTTGCTCCCGATCTTGTGTCTTGTCTCTGACAAGCTGGTGGTATAATTCAGTGTAAGTCCAAAGGCCTCATAATCAGGGGGGCTGATGGCATATACAGTCCTGGTCTGACTCTGAAAGTTCAAGAATCAGGAGTACTGATGTCTGAGAGTGAAGATGGATAACTCAGCCCAAGTAGAAACATGAAACAGCTCTGACAAGTGCTGTTGACTGATGCTCTGATCCCCACCCCAGCCACTCCTCTGTCCATGGGCTTTGGGACTCATCACCCAGCATCCATTTTAACCATGAAGGCTCCTCCCTGCCCTCTATCAGACCCTTGACATCAAAATCCCCAATGTCCAGAAGCCTCTTGTGCCCTTTGTCTTCCATTTGGAACTCTTGGGCTTAAGTCTGCTCTATCTATTGGATGTTGTGATTTGGATAACGGTCACTCCTGGAGGTGACCAAACCATCAGTTCTGTCTCGTTTTCCTAGTCCTTAGACTGTATGAGTCTTTGGTTCTTCCTTCCCTACTGGCGTTGGTCATCTCTGGCTATGGGAAGGTCTTCATAGCGCAGGGTTAGAGTATACCTGTGATAAAATTCAGAGCGAAAGTCCCTGGTCTCGTGTAGATAGAATAGGCTTTGGGATTTCACCGACTGGTCTTTAATCTGGATGCATCTATTTCAGGTGGCCAACAGTTCAGATGAATGCTTCTGGATGTAACGGGGAGCCTCCTCTGCTCTAGCAGACGCTTTTGCTAGGGAGACCACGGTAGACAGACACGGTCCCTATCTCCATGAAGTTTATAGTCAGGCAGAAAAACCATTCATTTAATAAGTAATTACCAATGGGATGAGTGTGAAAAGATAGGACAAGGGGAGAATAGAGGAGAAGGTAACAGGGGAATATATGCTACTCTAGGGAGTTGGGAAGCGCCTCCCTAAGGAGACGATGTTGAAGACTTGAAAAATATGTTGAATTTAGATAGGCCGAGAAGGTGTGGAAGTGGAGTGTAAGAGTAAAAGAATATTCCAGGCAGTTTTGGTCGTATGAGATGATTAAGTTGTAGAGATCTGTTAGACA